GTTCTACCTTCTTTTTCAACGACGCCGTTTAATTTACGGGAATATAAAGGAGTAATTTTATGAATTATTCTTTCTCTTTTACAAATATCATTAATCAATATATATTCACCCTTTTTATCTGATCTAACTCTTTTTATATTTTTATTCAATTGATTTTCTACCTTAACTTTATACTTAAGAAATATGTCAAAAGCTTCATCTTTATGCCTAAGTGCTTGTTTGGTTTAGTTTTTTCAACTTATTTACCTTTTAAAAGTAGAAATTAGGCCAAACAGGATTTTGAAAAGCCCTTAAAAAAATTTGTTTTTTAAAGAACAAAATTTTAGAAAAGAAAGGTTAAAGGAAAGCTCCATTCTCTTTTATTGTTTCCAAAACACATCAGTTTTTCAAGAAATACCCATCTCGTTTTTAATCGATCTCCTTTTCCTTTCCCTCCCTTTACAGATCACCATTCTCCAATGTAAATTATGATCTCCTTCTCCTCTATTTCTCTCTGTAAAGACTATTAGGAAAAAAAAAATAAAAGACCTAACAACAAAATGACAAAATTTGATATTTTCTTGTTCTTACAAAAATTAAGAGAAAAAAAAGACTTAAAATTCAAAACTGCATTCAAAACTATTTAAAGGTTTTCTCTCTTTTTCACCATAAAGGATTTTAATGTGAAATACATTATTTTCTCTATTCTATTCTCTTTTGGGAATTGAAACATTGTGATTCGATTGCTTGCTAGATCAATAAAAATCTAATAATATTACTACTATACAAAGTTTTAGAGTTGTTTCATTTTTGTTTGGATTTATTTGATTTTAACATTTGAAATCGTATATAGGCTTGAAGTAGACTCGTTACATTTTGATTTATTAGGTAATTGAAGATGACATTAATGCCTTTCATAATAATTTTAACTAAAATTAGAGCTTATATAATTTATTTTGTCGAATAGCTTACCAACTAGTTTTAGCTTAATTTTAAAAACTATTATTGTTTGTACGAGCTTCATAATAACTTTTAAACTACAAAAAAAAGTTAAGCCAAATGAGCTCTAAGTAAATAAACTTTAATAAATCTAGAGTAGTCATCAATAAATGTAACATAATATTACTTATCACATCTAGTTATAGTTTGTTTCAAATCTCTCAAATCAACATGAATTAAACTTAACAATTCAGATTTTTTATTTACTGAAATACAAATTTTCATAGTTAATTTTGTTTCAGCATACGTTACACATTTACTAAAACATGCATTTTTAATACTAGAAATTCAACCTAATGATTGCATTTTCTAAATATAAGGAATCCTAGCATGTCCAAATCTATCATACCATAAATCAATAGAATCAATCATGTAAGCAGAAAAACTAGCATTTTCGTTCATGACATTTGCAATGTTAAGTCCAAAAGTCCTTGATTATAGTATCCCTTATCCATTAACACATTATTTTTTGTTATTACAATCTTATCAAATTCAAATGACATTTTCATCCCCACCTTGCCCAATAAAGCTATAGGAACCAAATTTGTCTGCTTATTAGAAACATGCATAACATCATTTACAGTTAGAGTCTTACCAAATGTAAGCTTTAGAAGGACTTTTCCTTTACCAAGAACTTGAGCAGTTTGAGAGTCACCAAGATATATTTCTCTTCTCTTTCCCTTACTGAAGTATAGAAGGTAAAGAAATTTCTATTTACACAAATATGCTTGGTAACACTTAAGTCTACCACTCGTTTCTTCACACTAACCACTATATTGGCTTGAGAAATGACTGCAACAATTATATCATTAAATTCATTTGCTTCAACCAAGTTGACTCTTGGATTAATAGACTTGTCATTTCCCTTTGCTCCCTTCCTGTACTATGTTGCATGATGCCTTGGCTTTCCATAAACAAAACAACTACCTTTCTTTTTGAAGATGGGATGAGGAGCTTTCAGTTTATAATCAGGTTTATTAGTGTATCTCTGTTGATGCTAGATTCTATCTTGCACTAGATTGGTAGCATTTACAACGAAGGCAACGGTTGTTGGGATAAAACCATTGACAGTGGTGATGCAAGCAGTAACAAAGGTAACAACTTTATTGGTTTGAGAATCTAAATTATCTTTAAGATTGTGTGCAAAATAATGAAGTAAATGACAACAAAAACTGGTCTGAGGTGTGATACATTGTTCTTAAGGATAATTTTCACCCCTTTGGAGTATAAAACTCAATACAAAAAGGCTATAACGGTTATCCCAAGATTCAACAGACTCTTCTTGATTAGTTTGCACAAACTATTAGAGATATCAGGAATAGCAAAAAAATTAAAAGCAAGAAACAATCCAGCAAAACAAGGAAGTGATGGAAGTAGAGAAAACGAAAGTAGGAAAGTTGAGAAGATCTGAAAACTGAGGTGTGTTGGAAACTAAGGTGGAGACTGCAGAAAAATTAAAAACAAAAAACAACTAAGTAAAATAGGGAAGTGATGGAAGCAAAGAAAAGGAAGGCAGAAAAGTTGAACTAAGGTAAAGGCTGGTTTTCATAAGTTAAGGATAGAGGAGAATTAGGAAATAACATTGCAAAAAATATCATGAGTCAAAATAAGATGCAAATAAAGTTAACCACAAAGTATATTTTTGTGCGCAAGCAAAAATCTACATTTTCTCAAAGCTTAGCCTGACCTTATGTGCACACAAGCCCACTTTCTTATCTTCCTTACAACAAGCCCATAATGGGTTTACTTATATAAAGCATTAACATATTTTGTACTTAGGCAATGTGAGATATTGAGACCTTATAAGATATTATGTCCAACATGACGTGTGAGTTTAATTTCGTAAAATTTTTCCTTTTTTAAGTTGAAAAGAACAATTTCATAGAAATTTATACTACATATTTATTAATAAAGTTGAGGTTTATATTCGCATAACCCATTTCAAAGACTTGATCCCAACTTGACATTACTCTTTGGTACATAGCTTGCCAAATTTGGCTTTGGTCATGTTAACTGTTAAGATCTTGGGACTCTGATCGGCTTGTTTTGCTGATAGATTCTAGTTTCAGTTACCATTCCAATTGGATCAACTTGAGGATGATCAAATCCAAGATGATTACGAACATGGAGTTGATGACCTTTATTTGTAGGCTCTATTTCTTTGTTGCCATGCTTTGATCGATCTCCACTAGCCCGATTCTCTAAGACTCAATGAAATATATAAGCAAAAACTATTCCAACAGTTCTCTTATCTGTCGTTTAGCTGTCAACCAGTCTCAAAATCAGTCAAGTATGAGTGTATCATGGACAGCTTGGATGTCATGGAGTCCATGTTGAGTGATGAACGTAACGTGAATAGGAGCAAATTCCTCATTGTTGTGACATTCGAAGCCATAAGATATACTGATGAGATACATTAAGAGGATAAAACAGATGGAGACATAATGAAAGTTAACTAGCTTAGGTTTGTCATGACTAGTAAGTTAGCCATTGAAGACTTGGAAAAGGTTTTTGCATTGAGCAACAATGAATGTGTAATTTGACTAAGAGTTAATTTTTTAAAGGAAAAAGAAGCTAAGCAAATGCCTTGTGGCATATATCATTGAGATTGCATCATTTAATGGCCAGAGAAAAGTCACTTGTGTCCTTGTGTGACTATGCCATGGTAGATGAATCATGAATCTCATGTTATTAATTCATTAAACCGACAAGACTTTTGAGTTATATATGCTTGCTAAAAGGATTATCAATCATACTTAAGAGCATAAGCATGAGTATGTTTCATCCTTTGTTTTGTTAGTGCAAATGGAGTTTAGTTGGAACTCAAATGAATTGGCAAAATTGATTTCAAGGCATGACTTTGTAGATGCTACTTTAGGACTTATTTTATTGGGTAAGCAAAAGTGGAATTATGTAGATACCCTTAGTGATATGATTAAGCTTACATCTAATTTCGTCTTGTATTTATAAAAGTAGATCACTAGACATAAGTTACAAGTTGTTTAACTTTAAAACTTACTTTCTATAAAAAGTAGATTATAAGGAATTTAAATATTTTTTGTAAACGATGAGAACTCAAAATGTTTATATCTTTTTTTTTATTTAAAACATAACATTTCTTTTGCTTTTGTTTTTTTGTTTTTGTTTTTGTTTTGCTTGTCATGTGGCAAAATAGTTGCCAAGAAAGTCCTTGCAAATATCTCTTTCATTAAAAATACAACATTTTCATTAAAATACCTCTATGTCTTAAACACACATTTATATGTTACAAGACAAAACTTTTGAATAAAGATATTGTTTCAATAATTACTTTATGTAAAAATAACTATTCATACCATAAGACATAATTTTTGAGTAACAATATAAAAACATAAGTTTTCATATTAGAACTTTTGAGTAGTGGCATTTTTTAATTATTTCATAATCTTAAAATTTAAAGATATTTTTTCAAATATTACTTTACTTATGTAATCTTCCAATTAATGTGTCTTTTCAATAATCACAAATTTTCATATATAAAGACATAACTTTTCATATAAAGAAATAAAACTTTTTATTTTAAAAAGATATCAACATATTTAATGTAAATTTCCTATAAGCTCTTATTTCCTGGTTTAGAACAGTTTAATATTTTTCCTGGTTGAAATATGGCACGTCGCACAAATTTTGCTTTTTCTTTTTCCCCGTTAAGAAGAGCATAACTCTGCTTGTCTCTGTGTGCTGTGTCCGTGTTCTCTTCAAAATTCTCTCTTTCATTTGGTGATATTTTGATTCCAAAAGATAGTTATACGACCATGGGCCCATGTACTAATTATTTTCTCGACTACAAATATACGAAAAAATAAAAAATAAAAACACAGAGGAATAAATAGATTCTTTCCTTTTGGTGCTCCAGATTTTAATGCTAACCCAAATTTTGCCTTTTCATGTTTTTTTCAGCTAAGAATAGCACAGAATTTTGCTTGTGCCTCTTTCAGGACCCAACACACACAAATAAAAAAAAAAAAGTTGATTCCATAAGATAGTTATACGACCATGGGGACATAAGCTCATTATTTTTCTCAACCATATTACACAAAAAGGGCACCAAAGAGTTACAAATATTTAAATGGTGCCCAAAACTATTTCCATCAAACAAATTTACAATACCTAAACACATAATTATTCTATTTATACACAAGAAAAGCTTGGAATCATGCACCGCACTGAGGCTTGGTTGACTCCAATGGTTCCACCCTAGTGGCACCGCCTGGCATTTCATTGAGCCAATGACAGTCCTCAAAAGCACAGTGGCGCCTCTTCGGCCCCTCCACATCAACTGGATTAATGTACGATGGAGCCCACGTGGGGGTCCCATCTTCATAAGAATTGTGAGTCAGCCTCTTCAAATCAGAGCCGTCCAATTTTATCGTGAATATCTCACCGTAAGGTTGATAGTGATGTGGGTTTGAGATTGGCTCAGCTGATAACCCCCCATAATCCGAAGTAAATACCACATACTTTCCATCCGGACTAAATGACGGGTGGTTGGCCCGCCCGGATGACCCGCTCTTAACCAACCTCCTTAAACCCGTGCCATTGGGGTGGATCAGATACACCTCGAAACTCCCTGAACCCGGGTTGTCTCGATCCGAAGCAAAAGCGATCCAATCACCGTCGGGTGACCAATTACACATCGTATCCGTCCACGGGCCCTCCGTTAATCTCCGGAGCCCGCCCGCCTCCCCGTCGATCGCATCCATTATATATAAGTTCTTGTGACCCGTGCGACCCGACCTGAACACAATCCATTTTCCGTCGGGCGATGGCGAGGGGAATGCGTTATTTTTACTATCATTGGTCAACCTCTTAAACTTTGATTGGTCAACATCGTCAGCGTTGATGGCTACAATATCAACCTCGGTTCTCTCACTTGCGAACTCCGGTCCAGCGCTGGTGTATACAATTCCTTTACGAATCGGGTCCCAAGCGGTTGCAAAAGCATTCAACGGGAAAACCTGGCGCAGGTTCGAACCATCCCGGTTCACGACATAAACACCCGGGAAATCCACGTAGGCTATACGGTCACCCGCCGGTGAGAAAGAAGGGAATGAACCCTCGACTCTGAAAAGAGAGAGATTTGGTACTGGGCTTCGAACGTTTTCAAGCAATAACTGGGGAGTTTTTCTTCCATTACTTTCTCCCTTACACTTATGGTACCCAACTCGGGCTGAGTCGGGTGATAAAAACGGGTTTAAGTGGTGAGTTGTAGGAGAAACGTGCCGAGTGAGCTCGATAAACTCGCGTTTAACAAGGTCAAACAGCTCTATATGGCGAAAACTCGAATTGGGTCTTCTCGTAGCTACTGCTATGAACTTATGATTACCTGGGGAAGTAGCTGGCGTGAACGCGTGCACACCCGGTGGCGTGACTCGTTCAATCGTCACTGACTCAGTAGAAACCAGTTTACCTTTAGGCAAAATCGCTCTATAAACACTTATCCACTGGTCTTCACTTCTCCTGTGGAAATACAGAGTCGAGTCATCAACCCAACATGGCCACCCACCGTGTTCAACAACCTTTACTCTCTGAGACCCATCCCCAGTCAAGAAAACATAAATATCAGTGCTCAGTTCTTCCACTTCCCCATCCCACCCTTTGCTTCCATACGAAGCCACAGCTGTCCAAACCCCAGAAGGAGACACGGCGGGACTAAAATCGGCGATTCCATAAGGAGTGAGCCGCCGAGTAACACCAGTTCCCAACTGAGTCGAGTACACAGCAGCCCAACTCGTTCTCGGCTGACCCGGGTCCTCATGTGTTGACACGTAAATCAAATTCTCCCCACTCAAACTCGGCCTATCTTTCATCGAAATCCGATTCTTGCTTTCCTCTAAACCCAACAAAGGAGCTTGAACTCGGACGGGAAGTTCAAGGGCCGATCTTAATCTGGTGCTTCGCGGCGCATCGCAATAAAGTGCGTCGTAGTAAATATTTGACATCCCGCTTCGTTCCGTGACGTAGATGAGCTGGAGCGGCGCCGGAGCTGGTGGACCCGGAGGATGAAGAAGGCTTCGATTGTGGAGGAGCGAGAGGATGGAGGACGATGAGGCTGACGGAAAGTGGCCGTTGAAATTAACCGATTCACCGTCCGTAATCTGAAGTTCGTTAGAAGGGTTTGGTGAATCCAAAGTTGGGAGAGTGAAGATGTCCCAAGCATAATCTGATCTGCCAAGTGTAGTAAAAACTATGCTGCTTCTGCTTCTGCTTCGAGGTTCATGCTCCGCCGCCGTACACAGCAAGGTGAAGAAGAAACGGAGAAAGAAACTGAAAAGTGCTTTGGGTTTCATGGTGTTGCTTCGATGAAGCTGGTCTCTGAGTGGCACCAAATGAGTCTTCAATGGGATTTAAGGGGATGAGTTTTCATGTTGTAAGGGATGACGTCGTGTGAAGATCGGTGGACCCGCTTCTTTTATTTCGTGACACGTGGGAGTAAAATGAAGCACTTGATTCGTGATTATTTTATTAGTGGGATCCTACTTGAGGACTTTTGGCACCGGCTGTAGTCAATTTTTATCCACACAAAAGGATTTGCGATGATATTGATAGGACAGGATTGTGTTTTTAAAATCTTTGTGTATTTATTTATTTATTTACTAAAAAACAAAATCTTTGGGCATTCTTCTTCAATCCAGCAGTTGGACTTTGAGAGCTGCATAGTTCAAGTTTTAAGAAAGTTGGGGCCCAATTTGTTAGGGTAGGTGAGAAAGGACTGTTCCCCTAAAAGTTTCTTAGTTTAGCTCAATGGAGAAGAATGCGTTCGTAACCAGGAGACACAGAAAAGACAAAGGTTGCTAGCGTTTTCTAAGCAGCATGAAGAGCAGCTTCGAGGAGTTGTTCATAGTATGAAAGTTCTTCAGCAAGCAGTAAAGCCTTTTGGTACATTTCTTTGTACATCCTTTAGCTAAAATTGTCGTGAAATTGCTTGAAAGGAGTTCATTATACTCCCTGCATTTCTCTTCATATAGCTTTCTCTAAATGCTCCTTTCGACATGGTTCAAATCTTTGATACCAACATTGAAGGATTCCGTAAGTCATTCAATGGCAGAGCTTGATGCATCCTCTTCAGAAAAATATCATTTCTAATGAACAACAACCAATTCCCGTCACTTCAAACCTAGGCCAAATTTATCATTAGGCTTATGTACCAAGCATACAACTTCCTTTTTTGAAAAATAAGCATGCCATTGTAATACAAGTATCAAGCAATATGAAATTTAGTGTCATAAATTCAATGATCATACTCTTGAACATTCTTACCAGCCATGTATATGGCCAATAGTAAAATTGTGAATTCATTACTTCTTAAAAACAAAAAAAAAGCATGTTCACAGTGATGAATATACCAGTTCAAACAATCATTTTTTTAGACAAAAGTTGATTCAAAGCAAAGAAAAAACATAGGAAAAACAGCAAGGAAATCGCTTAACTAATCAATTCACCTAACTTTAAATCTGGTAAAAATTTCTAATATTTTTAAGACATGAGTATGCCATTGGTATTCAAGGGTCACATATTCTTATCTTAGATACTTTCTCATAGTGATCATGCCCTTGAAGATCCCTACCAATCATGTTATGCTTAATAGTGAGATAATGCCAATACATACTAGTTCAACCACTATTTATTTTTTAGACAAAAAGGTAATCAAAAGCATTAGAAAGAATAAGTAAAACAGCAAGCAGATCACTTTACTAACCAAATAAACCTTACTTTGAAGCTAGTTTAAATTTCTTTTCCATTGCTGTACTCAAAGGAGAAAGTTTGTTTTAAAGATCTTAAGCAAATCACAGAAATTATGCAGGCCCAAACTACAAATCAATGGCACATCTATAACAAAAATGACCAATTGCAAAAATTCACACCCAAAGAATTCAGAATAAACGAACAAAATCACACACAAAATATTCCAAACAAACACGAAAACTGTTTAAAGGGCCAGCAAAATTTTCGAGTTAAATCTGTCCAAGGCAAGTGTAAAGGTCAAAAATGAAAATAAATAAATAAATAAAGCAAACTGCTGAGAATAATAAAAACACCCATGTGGCATAACAAAGAATTGAAATAAAAATCTGAAAAAAAAAAAAAAACATTGCAGGAAACCACTACAAAGCCTCCATGCAAGCCCTCCAAAAAGAACAATAAAACAACTGAAAATGAAAACAAAATAAAGGAATTGAGTGGAAGATAGCCTAGAGGGAAGCAAGATTTCAAGAGATAGAGAGAGAAGCGAAAATGGAATGGTAGATAATGGGGATTTGGTTCGGTGTTTTGGGGAAGAGGGGAATTTCGTGAGGGAAAAAAAAGAGTCAGAGAAAAAGTACCTAATAAAGTTTATCAAACGTAGTCGTTTTGCATCAGAAGTTGGGTCTGGAGAGAAGAATTGCCAGCACGCGCTTGACGGGGAGGATGAGACATGCGAGCATCCTCTGCTTCTCTCTCTCTCCCTCACACCTGCCTCACTCCTTCTCTCTCTAAAGCAAACCCTATCTCCACTGCCGCCCCACTCCTCCGCCGGCCGCTCCCGCCAAAACGCCAAAAGCCATCAGATCAAAAATCGAACCATAAAATACCAGAAAAGCCAGGTGCAGCTTCTTTCTAATCGAGTGCAAGCAGATATCAAACAAAAGCAGCGATGTTTCCGGGAATGTTCATGCGCAAACCGGACAAGGCGGCGGCCTTGAAGCAGCTGAAGGCACACGTGGCTATGTTTGGGGTGTGGGTAGCTGTGGTTCGTGTCACTCCTTACATTCTTCATTACCTCTCTGATGACAAGGAGGAGCTCAAGCTCGAGTTCTAGATGCCTCCTCTCTCTCTTTTCAGGTAGTTTAAAGACTTAGATTTTATTTGCTTTTTATTATTATCACAATCATTTTTCTTCTAGTAGGATTAGTTCTGGGAACTGGGTTTATTTGCTATGCTGGTTTTTTCAGATACGAATTATTTTATCTGGGTTGAATACCAATTTTTGTAATTTTCATGTGTGAAATCACTGAAATGTAGTTTATGTAGCAAAGCAACAACCAAACACAGCCTTAGAATTTGTATGCTCAAGACGTGTTGAGGGAGATAATTTATCTAAGGAGTGGTGCCAATGGAATGAGAGGTTTTAAGCATGGCTAATTTGATGTACTTGAAAGTTTTAGTAAATAGGTATATTCAGGAAGGCGAGAAAATTTTGGAATGGATTAGGAATTAAGACTTTGAATGGATTGTCAAAAAAGAAAAAAGAGTGATAGAGTAAAGGCATCCTCTTTGTCCCTAGGAAGTTATTTTGGAAAGATGTGTAGTATTTGGAGGAGGACTCCTTGTCATTAGGGTTTGAGGTCGACTACCCTCCATGATGGAGCTCTTTTAATTTCCTGAATGTCATTTTTATTAAATGTTGGAAGCAGGTTCGTTGGCTTGAGATGGTTTCTTTTATTAGCAACAATTTGGAGTACACCACTCTAATTTGATATCCTTATGGTTACTATTAAATTTTGTTATAGTAGCACTGAAAGTCAGTCTTCATGTCCATTTGCTTAATACTGTTCCTTAGTGCCTTTACCCTGGCAAATAAGAGTAGAAATGTCGAATGACATATACATGACTGATTGTTTTGCTACACTTGCATAGCTGTAAATACTTCCAGTTTGGTTGATCAGTGTTTTCATGGTTTTTCAGAACCCTTTTTTTTCTTTTTGTTCCAAAAAGATATCATCGTTAAAAGTACTTGATTTGTCTTCAGTTGCCATGTTGTCAGAAAATTATGTAATGCACTATTTTTTTATTTATGATGCCTTGCCCGTATTAGTGACAACTGTTACGGTTGTAATTCAAATAGATTCTGTTTTTTCAGTTTTTGCTGTGATCTTTGCTTTAGGATAATGAGAAAAAGTGCACCTTCGAGTGATAGCTTGTAAATTGCATTTAGTGGTTGAGAAAACTGATTGCTTCATATGGTAGCTATGGGAATCATGCAGTGTCCAGATCCTGCCTTTATTCCTGTTGTGTCACTTGATCATGGTGATGCCACTAGCTAGTGGAAGGCACTTTAGTTGTATTCTATATGATGAATTATTGTTAGAAGTAGTCATTTTAGTTCTTAGCTAGCGTTTCTCCCTCATTCACTTTACCGGGATTTTGTTTTGTTGTGTTTGCTACTGATTTTTCCTCTTTTTGTGGTGCAGTGGGTTACAAGGAGAGAATTGGATTGGGATGTAAAGGAGTTTCAAGTTCCTGATTCCTTTTCAGCCTGCTTGAGTATGAGGCCATGGTGTTATCACATTAGGTTATATTTGCATTTGCTTTGATCATGCTTGTTAGATTTTTTACTGAAATGGAGGATTGAGTACTTCCATATTATGTCATGACGGTTATATCTAATTGAATATACCTTCGAATATCTTGCTAGTATCACCATGCCATAATTTCCTTCGGCAGGAATTGGGGAAATTTTTCTCTCTGCTGCCATTCCCTCAAATTATTGAATAACCAATGATTTTATTTTATTCCTTGGCTTTGATTGAGGGAAGTAATTGCCAAATTTGAAACGAGGTTGGGACTGGGGATCTCCATGACAAAACACCCGCTACTCTAGTTTAGTGAACTCTCTGTTCGGCTTTCTGCTACAATGTCCTCACCGACATGCGTCTGGGTATCTGTTGGTATTTGAGAAAGTGATGGCACTTGATGCAGTAATGGACCAAATATGAAGAGGCCAAGCTCTAAGAGCCTAGGACCCGAGCAACAGATAAGTCCATAAACAAAATTTGGATGTTTGCGCTTGCCATTGCTGCATTGAAGAAGAGAGTAATGTATCAATTGACAAGCATCGAGTCAAATGTTTGGGTGTTGTTCTAGTACCAATTAATCCAACACATTTTGAATCGGTCCTGTGTTCAGAATTTTAAATGAAGTTTCTCCTTTAATTTGCATAAATCCGAATCGGCGAAATTTTTTTACTTGGAAGTCTTGAGAATCTCCTAAATTGGCTTAGAGATATGCCATTTTAGGTTATTTTGTTTTTTGACAAAAATATTATTAAATTGTAATAAAAGGTATTTTTATGTTTTGGTGAAAATGTTATTAATTATAATAGAGGGTATTTTTATTTTTTGATGAAAAATATTTTTAAATTATAATAAAGCATATTTTTGTATTTCGGTGAAAATATGATTAAATTATAATAAAGATATTTTTGTCTTCTGATGAAAATAATATTAAATTATAGCACAAGATATTTTATTTTTGACAAAAATATTATTTAACTATAATAAAGGGTAGATTGTATTTTGATGAATATTATTAAATTATAATAAAGGGTAATTTTATCTTTTGACATAAATATTATTAAATTATAATAAAAAAGTATTTTATTATTTTATAAAATAAATTTTAAATTATAATAATTGATATTTTTTATTTTTTCCTTTATTTTATAATTATTGTAAAGTTTTGCTTACCAACTAAACATCCAAATAATATCATAACGAAAATTTCTTTTTATAAACCAAAATTACATAATAATTATTTTATTTTATTTTCACATAATGGCTATTTCATTCCTCTTATATTTAATTTTGTGAACCAAACTTGCTATTCATCCTTAATTCTCAATCATGACGGGACAAGATATTAATGGAAAAATTAGAGAAAAAAACCATTTGATTATTGAACTCTACTTTATATTTTTCTTATAATTTGTTGTTATTAACATAAATTATAGGAAAGTTCATGCACAAAGATAATTTATTCAATTAAGCTCTTTACCTTTATCACATTCAAATGAATTCTTAAATTTTAATTCAAATCCAAAGAAACTCTTCATTCTATCTAAAATTTAGTTGTCTTTAAACTAAATGCCGACTGACTTTTTTTTTCTACATGTCCTATGACCTAGAAAATTAAAATATTTGAATAATTAACCTTGTCAATTGTCATATAATCTCATTAGATATTATGTGAATTCTATCATTTGGATAGAAAAAAAATCGATTAACATTACGTTATTAGATAATTAAATTTTCATTAATATTCAAAATTATTTGAATTTAAATTTAAAAACTCGTTCACTATAAAAAATTTTAAAACTCATTCAAATATAATAAAATATGAGAAGTCAATTGATGTTGTTCAGGGTATAAGCCAATTCTATTAGAATAATTAAATTTTACACTCTCTGAACATGGTAAATTCAATCAATCTTGGGGAAAAATAAGAAGTAAATTTCTTTGCACAGTGTACCTTAGAGGAGAGAGTGACTGAGTGAGCTGGCGTTGACTGATTGGCAGCCAGTAAGATTGAAAGTCGTTGGACGTTACTATATTATATTAACAAAAAGTAAACGTGGGACAGCCTCAAGCTACTCTCTGTCTCACCAACATTGAACCTTACTCTCCAAGGAAACCAGGTCAAACGTCCTTCGTAGACCCCATTTCTACTCTGTCTCTCTCTCTTTCCTAGTTTGGTAACTTAAATTTAAAGTGCCTGTGAAGAGCTTCAACCAGGTTTCTCTTTTTCTATCTTTGCAATTCTGGGTCGATGAGTTACTTGAGACCCTGTGCTTTATACAAGACTCTTATGACTTTCCCTTCGCTGAGATGGATGCCTTGCCAGAGCTGGGGTTTCCTTAGATGGCCAGGTTTTGATGGGTTCTTGAGGTTCATGGTGGTAGCTCTTTTGTGGACAACGTTTTCTGAGATTCGTTTCATTCCTTCTTCTTCTATGTACCCTACTCTTCGTGTTGGTGATCGAATCATCGTTGAAAAGGTAAAAATCTCTGGTCTTTTTTTTTTTTTTCTCATGATGGTTAGTTTGTTAATAGTTGATATGTTTGCTGCTTCATTCTGTATAAATATTTGCTGCTTCAGATGTATACAGGTAGCTGTCTTACCCATTGGGCTTAAAATTCCCAGTAAACTTCATTTCTGTCCTGCTTCAGATTGAATTCTGTGGATGATCACAACTTTTGTTTATTTATATAAGAATTTTCGTTTTAAACTTTTCGGAAACAACTTTCCTTCTTTGCCAAGTACATTGAATGGCTCTTTGAGCTGGAATGTGATCTCATTTTATTCCTTCACAGGTCAATGGCTTTCTTATTCGAGATTTTGAGTAGTTTGTCCAAAGATAGATGTGCTTCCGTACACTTCTGAGGGAAAGGACAATCCTTAACTCATCTCTCCATATTAATTAGTTTAGCCTGGTTGTTCTGTGGATCCTAGGAAAGCACACTAACCAATTTAATAAATGACATGTGAAATTCATCTTCATAGGTTCACAGCCTAACGAAAATTAGTGCCTCAACAAAATAAAAAGACCACTAATATTTCCTAGTTTGTGAAACCAGCTTGGTTGTATAGTCCCTTCTTTCAGATTTGTAACCTGGTAAAGGATACATTTGTGAGTTTAAATTTCCTTCTATTCCAGCTAAAGATACTGTGTGACAAGCATCACAACATTAATTTGCAAATTGCAGTTTCTAAGGTTTCTAAGATTGCAAATTACAGATTCTAAGATTGCAACTTCTCTGTTTTAGTTTGTTGAAAATTTGCAGAAGTACCTGTATTTTTCAAGTGACAGTGTGCAAGCAATATATGGGTTGATGTAGTATTATGTTCCGTTAAGACATTGCAACAATGGAGAATCGCGGTACTGCTGAAACAGCTTCCTTTAAATTGAAGGAGTGACGTCTAATGCACGTGCTTCTCGTCACCCCTCCTTCTGCTCTGCCTGGGTCTTTTTCCCCTAAGGGCTGTGTCAAGACTGTGATTCTCCTGTCATGCATTGTTGCATGGTTTCGTTTCTGCTTTTGTTGGCCATAAATGAGAAAAAAGTTCTGTTATAAAGCCCTCATGTAGATATTCAGCATTTTATACAATCTTCTAACTAACCGTTTATAACTAGCTTTGCTCTTACTTTTGTCAGCATTTTCTCCTATTCACTAGAATATTTTAAAGTGTACAGAACAGGTAGCAATTCTTCTTGTGTTAAACTGTTAACGAGTCTATAAATTATTAATCTGTCTGCTATTGTTACAATAGTGTCTAAAATTCTTGTTTGTTTGGAGGAATCTTGGGTATCATTTCTAATAATCAGGGCTCTTCTCTCTTACATAGGCATCACCTCAATTTTGATATCATTCTCAGAGACATGTCATATTTCTCTCTTACATAGGCACGCTACTTTATTTAGAGGCTGGCCAGGAATTTCTTTCTTATCTTTGTTCTTGATTATGTTGCTAAGAGGTCTTGCCCCTACTCTAAATTTTACTCTTCAATGTTCAATACTATTGATAGGACAGTCATTGTCAGAAGACTTCACAAGCTGCTTGTATAGATTTTTAAAGATGGGAGATCCTTGGAACCAGTATATCCACTCAATAATTCATCATCATTTCTGTTCTAATAAAATTTTGAGAATCATTAGGATCATGATCAAGATTCCTGAAATTCTACTCCAGAAATTTTAATTTAGTTGAACTATTATCAGGGGGAAAAGGGTAGATTTTTAATTGACTTCGGAGGGGAATGAAACGACATGAAATTGTCTTTCTTAATTCACAAACAAACCCTTTTATTTTTCTTGATATATGTTTTGTCAGCTTAATGCAAATAGAGCCCTACTATAATACTCTTTGTGTTTGTATTATGGAATTTTTGCAGAGTATGCGTCATGATTGTGACTGACTTAAAGAGTAATGATCCTGATTTTCTAATAGGCACCATTGTGGTGTTTACTCTCATTTAGCTGTTTCTTTGCAACTTGTCCAGGCCTCTTTCTTCTTCAGGAGTCCTGCCATAAATGATATTGTAACATTCCTAGCTCCAGAACAGGTTTGTCAGTTGGATGTATTATTGCCTAACCGTTTGCACTTTGCACCCAATAGAAAATTATTCTGAAGTATGCTTGTCTTCTTGGTGTGCTACAGGAGCCTGGATATGGGAAGGATGCTGTTTTCATTAAGAGAATTGTTGCAAAAGCTGGAGACTTGGTTCAGGTATTGCTGATTCTGTTGCCACTTTTCGCATTAAGATTTATTGGATGTAAAACATGGTTACTGCAAATTCAAAGTTCTGTGGACGTTGCATTCAGACTGACTACTTTGAGTTCTGCATTTTTTCCAATACCGACTGTCATTTAGACTGATTTTGTTGTAGTTTAGTTAATTTTGAATGCAAGGGTGCAATTAAAATTCAATCACATTTCTTTTATGCTTTCAGAGAAAGTTCTCCTAGCTCCTTTAATTCATTATCTATATAAATCAGCACCTAATATCAGCAAGACAATATCTTAATTCGAACTGCTAAAAAAATGCTGAAGTCTCTTCTTCTCCGTCTTCTAAAATGTGTTCCTCTAATACCATGCAGGTTCATCACGGCTCACTCTATGTCAATGGAGTTG